ATGAACCAAATTTCCTTGCAGTATATGTAGTTATTGATTCAATGTAGTTATTCCACTTCAAGTCATTTGAAAATGTGAAGCCGAGAAGGTGCAGTGAAACGTTCTCCTAGAGTTTAGCATCAGCCACACTGATAGTAGCAAAGAAGTTTCTCTATAGTGGTTAAATGAGAGCAGTTTAGTTTTGGAGGCATTAAAATTTATAATCCATTCCCTGCCTCAGTTAACCACTGATTCAAGGTCATTTTCAAGATCAGCAGCCAGGTTAACTTTGTCAGCTCTGATGGATATGCTATTGAAACAGGAGTAAATGGTAGTGTCATCTGCATAAATGCCTATTTGGGAACTAATGACATCAGGAAGATCATTGAAGAAGATCAAAAACAGTGTAGGGCCCAAGATAGAGCCTTAGGGAACATTCACTTTTTTGTGAAAGGATCTGGAAGTGAGCCCACTTAGAACAATTTTCATTTCATGATTTGATAGGAATGATTGGATTAAATCAAACAATCATCCTGTAATACTGTAGCCCTGAAGCTTATGCAGAAGACCAGCATGCCAAACCCTGTCAAATGCCTTTGAGGTATCTAGAGCCACAGCTTGAGTTTCGCTGCTATTATCAAGAGCTTTATACATATTCAGTGATGGCTGTAAGCACAACAGCAGTAGGCCGGGCAAAACTGAATCCATATTGTTTGTCAGAGAGTAGGTCATGAGAGGTAAGATTCTTAACCACTTCAGCATTGATTAAAGCCTTGAATACTCTACCAAAAAGCAGTAGGAAACTAATGTGGTGGTAGAGGGGTCAGAAGATTCTCCAGAGTTCTTAAAAACAGGAACTACAGAGGAGGACTTCCAACAAGCTGGAAAGCAAGGCAATAGTTGTAGAGTTTGGAGAGAACTGGGGCTAGTTTGGGAGTACATTTCTTTAAGATGATGGCTGGTATCCTATCACTTCCACTTGCCTTATGGGAGTCTAATTTAGAAATAATGTCCGAGACCAGTGACAGGTTTATGTGCATATCACTCAATATGGCCTCAGTTCTAGGCGGGAAATCAGGTGTGCGTACTCCAGATGAGTTGAGTGTTGAGTGTTGAATTGGAAGAGAATTTTCGAGCAAAGCATTCCACTTATCTACTGTAGATGTCAGGACTTTGAATTGATTGAATAGGGCAAATTATATTATTGGCCTTAAGCAAGCACTTGACATGTCAAGGAACTTCACTTTCAACAATCTGAGAAAGTTAAGTATTTCAAACTATCTCTCTTCATCTACTTTTGAATGTATGTAACTGTATATCCCTTCTGTGAACAACAAACTTTCTTACCTTTGTTTTAAACATTTTTGACTATTATTTTGTGTCAAATCATTTAATCTGTTGCATGAACATTTTCTCTTCATGACAATTCATTGAAACTACGGACTTTAAAAATTTTTTATTTATTTTCCTGAAACAAGCTACAGGCACAACATCAAGCGAGTAAATTCTTAAATAAATACATTATCTTGTTTCGTTACAAATAACCCATGTTTCCCCATTATTATCAGCATCCATTAACCTTCTTAGCATGAATAAATCAAATGTTCATTCTAAGTCCCATGCCACTATAGCTTGAAATTTCTTGGTTTTGACCCATACTACTCAAAAGAAAAATATATTGTCCCAAAACTTACAATAATTCTTTGCATTTATTTTGACATCAACTTTCAAGTGACCAATAATTTTACTACCTACAATACTAGCTCAAAAGATTACTCTGTTTCTTCACTGCCATCTTCTAAATAATGTTAGTTGACTATTTCCATGAAGGACACAATTTTTAATTACATCATCAGGTCCATCTAATGAAGTTCCACATTTATCACTAAAAATTACTGTTGAGAAAGCAGTTTTTATTTATTTACTTTTTATGCTCATTGTTTTTTTAATCATTTCAACCCCAGCAAGACAACAAAGCCACTAAGATGCAAGGTTTACTGAATGTTAGAGAGAATGAATAAAAAAACAAAAATACTATTATGGAGAGAGAACAATAAAAAAAACAAGAATCAAGAGGACAGAAGATAACAATTGACATTACATTTAAATTTTTAAAGATCAAAGCGGACTGCAAAGCGAGAAGATGAAAGAGTGTTCCACAAGCAAGAAATGCGATAGAATAAACTGTTAGCATAGAACTTATAGTTACACCTACACATTTCAACTGTAAAAGGATGAGACCTTGCTGTCAATCTAGTACTGTGCTTAAAATTCATAAAGTTTAGGTACCATGTTTACTTAAAGGTGGTAATTTGGTTACTTTTATGTTTTTAGCCAATGTTCTTAATAATCTGCATTTTTCCTTCAGTTCACATTTAATATTTTCTTGCTGGTCAATTCATTTTTCTTGTTTAAGAGATGGGCACTGATCACTTAAGCATTACATAACACATCCCAAATGAATCATCTAATAGAAGACAACAATCCTAATTTCCCTCCTGAGGCCAATGTACTGATGATTGAGGTGAGAGGAATGTCTATGCTGATGACATAGGTATTCATAGTTTGGATAAGAATGATCTTGAACAGAAAATCAACATCCCCTACCAAGTGTTCCAAGAAGTAGGACTCAAGATAGACCTTTCCAAAGCAGAAACTATAATCTGGAATTGGAATGAAAGTACAAATGTCTCCTATCCTGAATGCATCATAAAAATTCAGGATGTGAAATTAGTAAATACTAAACACAACAAATACTTTGGTGTGTGGATCAGTTATAACAAATTTAGTATTGGAGATAAAGAAATTGAACATAGAATAGGCTTCATTAGAAGTGGTTTCATTCAATATCACAAATTGGTACAAAACCAAAACATTAATCTGAAAACTCAAGTCATATTCTTAAATAGCCTCAACAAATTAAAACTTTCATATGGATGTCATGTATGGCACAAAATCATTATTACAATGAGTGCATGGTTGCAAAGAAAAGAACAAATAATTTCAACAGCATGTATTGATCAATTTTCAGAATATATAGTTGTGTGAAAAGGTGACAAAATTGTTGATATGTGGTTCTTTAGTTGCCATTGGTAAGGGAAGTGATTAGATATAAAGGTATTGTTGGTAAGACAGAAAATTGACAAATTTGTTGGTTTGGTTGACCAAGATCAAGGTTGGTATCTAGAGAGAGGCCTGGAGTGGATTAGTGAAGCTGCATGGTAGCATGAGTGGGGTGTTGTTGGCAGCATTGATTCATCTCTCTTTAGGGTTGAAATCAACACTGGTGAGGTGTGTGGATGGGCTGAGATCAAGTGATGGTGTCAAGGCATTGAGCCAAACTACCTGTTGTTGGCAAGAATTGTCATTTTTATATTTGTGATTTAACAGGTGCTGGCTACCAGGTTCATTCTTTTTTTTTTTTTGGCAGTAATGTTTGTGATTGGCTAGATTTTAGATTTTTGTGGGGATTTGTTTTGAGGATTGAATATCATGTGCAGAAGATGACTTTTTTTATTTTGGGTTTTCTTTCTTAGCACTCACATCCAAGCAAGATGTTTAGTGAAATGTATTTTTGAATAAGAAAGAGATCTTGAATAAAATAGTATAACACCATGTATGGCACCAAAGTCAAGGTACCAAATAGAAAAGCTCATCAGAACAATTACCATGAAAATATTTATAGAAAAGGCACAGAGGAGTTATGTTATGGTGAATAATAGAGCTATTACCAATAAAATTTTATTGATAAGAAAATCCACTTGAATCATACAAGCTGTCAAAATTTATAAATAACTTAGATGATATGTTGTCTTATTTGATGGAGCTATCAGATTAGTTTAAAGATGAACAATGATGACTGTATCTTGATGAGTAGCTGAGAGATATGTGGATGTTGTTATCTTAAAGAAGCTGCCATTTTTTTTCTTGCTGTGTGTCTATATTTAAAGAGTTTTAAGTGGCTCTTGCAAAGTGGTTAAACTGTTTAGAAATGACATGTGTCAGACAAAGCCAACCTTAGTAAATATCAATAGACTGTAACGATGCAGAAAATTGGTGAAAAATTTTCTTCCAAACTATTATCATTGTAATGAGTTTTATACACGGTAAGTATGTATCAAAGTGTTGGGCTAACTTTCCTTTACTCTTCCCTTATTAACATGCACCATGTTGGCCAGTCATGTGACCCTCAATCATTCAAGACAGCACCTTTTTTTTTACAGAGAGGACAGTTTTTGAATAGACACTACTGATTCCAGATGCATGTGTAGACACAGCTTCTTGTAAGATAACATTCCAGACTTGTGAGCAAAGAGAGATTTTTATAACATCCACTAGCTTTCCTTCTCAGGAAGGTATATATATATATATATATATATATATATATATATATATATACACACTTTGTTAGCATGTTCTTTTTCTATTTATTATCAACCCATTGCAAGTTATTTAAAGCCAAAAAATATTTTTAGATTGTAAAAATTTTTATTTTGAAGATAATAATGATTTAGTGATACAAGTTTTACTAATTAAGTACAAGTTTTTATTAAAAAAATTATGTTCAGTTCCTACCCTTTGTTTGCAAAAATCAGATCCCCACCCCTGACCATCTGTTTATATGTATAAAATTTTTATAATACTGATATGTCATTAAGGGTCATCTTGTTAGAGCTAACTTTCCAACTTCTTGTCACATTGTACTTCACTTTGCTTTTCTTCTTATTAACTTGCAACTTTATCACATTATCATTCTTGTAGAATGATTGATTCATTCATTTTTTACAGCTTATCAACCCTTTGCAGGTTATTTAAAACTAGAAAATATTTTTAGATTGTAAAAATTTTTTTGAGAGATAATAATGATTTAGTGATACAAGTTTTACTAATCAACCCATAGCTAGGGAGAGAATAGGTGGATTCATATCTTTCCTAATATAAGGAACTCAACTGAAATTGGAACTTGGCTCTCTGATTAACAATTCTGAGCCATTATCCATTACATCACCTGCACATCCAAGCTTACAGCACCTGGTATTTCTAAGTGGTCACCCAGCTAGGTACTGACCAGGCTTGACATTGCTTAACTTCAGTGATTGTATGGCAACTGGTAGTTTCAACATCATATGGCCGTAAGCCTTAGTATAAAAAGACATTTCATTGTAGAGCAGTGGTTAGCATGTTTGTCTCATGGGTCATTATTAGTGTAGTAAATTCAATTCTCACTGGGTGCCTCCAAAGCTGCTAGGTTGGACCTACATCATTTGAAAGCCTTCCTAAATTTTGAATTGACTTTCTTTTGATTAGATTCCAAGTTAATTCAGTTTATTTTAAAAGTAGCTCCCAAAACTGCCTGCATTAACATTCAAAACATATTACTTTTTGCTTTCATAATTACCCAATATGCCAACCCTTTAAACCCCACAGGACCTTGATCCAGATAGAGCCAACCACAATCTGGATCATAATATCACTATAGACTCCAGTCATTAGCTGTAAATAATATATACTTTGCTAGGGCTACATATGATTTTGAATTCTTTCTCTTAGACGAGATGCCAATTTACTGTTCTACTATTTGGATGTCAATCTGAGGACAGTGCAGAGGATTTGGAAAGAGTTGGATGAGTCTAATAGTGATTACGAAGGTACAGTAGCTCAGAAAACTCACTCTGATCATTCTGATAAGAAAAGAACTCCTGAATTTGTTGGTGAGGGCCTCAGACTCAACATAGAAGCCTACATCAAGTGCCTTGAGAAGGTAGTGTGGCCCTGGGTCAAGAGGGTGGCAGCTAGAAGACCCTATGTCTGGCAACAGGACTCTGCACCATGCCACACAAGCAAGAGAATGCAGTCATGACTGTCAGACAATTTCTGCAACCACATCACCCTTACATCTGGCCACCTAACTTCCCAGACTGAAACCTTCTTGATTATCATGTATAGAGCAGAGTTGAGCAAGAAACCAACAAAACTCCTTTTAACACCAAAGATGAACTGAAGGCAAGGATTCTGGCAGTATTCACCAACTTAAACAGGGAGACCGTCCAGAAGAGATGCAGGAGATTCTGAAGTTGTGGTTGCAATCAATGGTGATTTTTTATAAATAAATTTACTCTTTATCATTTCAGGATATTTTTATGTAATTTTGGTAAATATATCTGTTAAAATGAGATGTTTGTGTTATTTTCATTTTTGCAACAGTTTATCCATCACACCCTGTATATAGTGACACAGCAAATACTAAAAGCATATGTGGATGATACAACCATTTATAGGAGTACCTCCCAAAATCTGGATGATCAGGACCTGGCAGCTGAACTTTCCTCTGACTTAGCCCTGGTGATGCAATGGGGCAATACCTCCAAGACCAAACTAGTGATATTTCACCATCATCAAGTAGACCCTGAATTTACACATATTACATATGGATGAGTGTTCTCTCAAGAGGCTCCATGTCTTGTATGCATATTGAGACTTCAGAAAGTATTAGACTCTTCCAACTATGCTCTATCTTTAAAGAAGATCAGACCAAAAATGGAGAATTGCTGCCATATCTGGGTTGGAGTTGCCCAGTCCTCACCTACCTGTCTGGATAGAGCTCAAAAGTGTCTATTCAGCCATATGCCAGTCAATTATGTGCCATGCGTGATACACTCTTAGGCGATCATGTATCTTTTGATACATGACTGACGAGGCAGATTTTTTTCCTGCATTAGGTTGCCATTTCTTTCTGCAGTAGACAAGTTGCCATCGAAGGCTATAGAACTTAGTCTGTCCCGCTATTTACTCATAGCTGGGGAGAGAAGATGAGGATTTACACCTTTCCTAAGGGCATTAGCATATAAGTGAATGTAATGGATTCGACTGGAATTTGAACTCAGTTCTCCAATTCCTCAATCTGAATCACTTACTCCAGCCTTACGAATGATGAATTATTTTGCCTCCTACAACTACTTTCCCCACAGACAAAATGTTGCAAGTTTCTCCCTGCTCTATCGTTATTTCGATGGCAAATATTCTGATGAGCTACATTCCTTAGTTCCACCAGTCCTAACCTTTACAGCTAAGGCCCACCATACCACGTACACAGGGACAAATCATCCTCATTCACTTCATATTCCATTAGTAAGAAGAAGTGCCACTTGGATAGCTTCTTTTCTATAAGTGCTAGTTTTTGAAACAAACTCTCAGTATGTTTCCTGATCACTACAATCTTAACCTCTTCAAGTCTAGGATTAACCCTTATCTATCCTACATAACTTTATAAACTGCATTTCTTACCTCCTCCTCTTCTTATGCTCATACAACATCATTAAGTAACCTTCTACCTTGAGTGACTCTTGAACCTTTTACTGGGTGAACATGTGTAAAAATTTTAAAAGGTACCAGCCTGCTATATGTAAATTCGTTCTTGCTACTCTTTACATATGTAGTGATTCATAAATAAGATGCAGGTGTTACGTCCTCTGCCTTGTTAGAGTAAGAAAGAAATGTAGAATTCACATAATGTACTAGAAAAAAAAAATTGACACAAAAATACAAAGTCTCTTTCTCTTTGACCACTAATTTTTGGACCAGAAAAATGTGTTTTTCACAAGAAAGATGTCTCCAGCTCCTCATACAGATAGGCCTAAGGCTAAAACCATTTCTTTCTTTGCATTAATACAAATATATATATATATATATATATATATATATATACGTGTGTGCGTGTTCTGTGAATAATATAAATCAATTATGTAAGCGATTGTATGTTTAATCAAAAATCAATCATTTAATAAGACTTAAACAATAAAACTAAGAACAAGGTCTCACAACAAACGCATAACGCAGCAAATACTAAAAGCCTATATATAGGAAATACCATTTACATCCAAATTTATTCTCTCATTATATAGTAACATTAACAACAGAAATTTTGCTTTTTCTCCGAAGAAAAAAAGACAAATAATAAATGTAGTTTCTTTGTGCTTGCTTCTGAAATGTTTTTTGAAAAATTTGGTTAATTTTTCTTTGTTACCTTTTTTTTAAATGGGGTCTTTTAATTTTCACTTCCACGTGTTGTGATGAAAATTTCATAGGTTTGTTTCGTTAAAAAGTTCAAGTTTTACTCAGATTGATAAAAGTTTAGCAGCAAATGTTAGGAACGATCCGTTTTTTGTTATTGACAGAGAAATGTACGGTTCAGTATCCTTGAGTAAAGGGAGATAACTCATACTGCTAGAGATTTTTAAAAAATTATCTCCCGTGGATCTTTTAATATTTTATTTAATATTTTAACAAATTACCCTATCATTTTTTTTGTTTCGTTAGTTCATACGACCGTTATACCCTGCCAATACCTAATTAATAATGGACTATTCCGTTTTGATCGCTTGAAAAATGGGAAAAGACACTAGTTGGTTTCGGTGAGAAATGAAAGAAAGAAAGAAGTGTTTAACCAACACCACCTGTTTAAGTGAAATGGAAAAAGTTGTTACTTTCAAATTTCAAATCTTTTCATTTGTACTCACGTTTTTTTGTTAAAAGTTGATCAGCTTAAATATTTAACGATACGATATGGGGATTTCTACATAAGCATAAATTTTATTGTTTAAAATCGTCATGTGCTTCAGCTTACTCAATCATTAACTTAAGAATTAAGAAGATTCATCAGAATATTAAAGTAAGAAAACCGTGAGATTTTCGCAGTTTAAAACTAGTAACATTTCATTTGCATATTCTGTTTCATTGAAAATTTGCATTTTATATTTGACATTATCATAGATTTTACAAGTAAAAAATATCTTCACAGGGAAGACATAATTAACTTTGGTGAAAATGGCAAGTACATATCTGTTTCTTGGCAGGCCAAATTTATTAGGAAAATAATCAAAAGCACTTAGATATACAGACAAAGCTGAAACATTATCCATGATTGATCTTGCAAAAGCAATTATTTTCTACTGAAAGTTTGTATCAGAACTTCTTGATTCATACCTATAATCTAATACAGGGATAATACTTCTTTGTATTGTACAGTAATTCTTCTACCCAAATAAAAGATTGGGTATTGAAATTGTTATAAACATGTTAAATAAAGGGCAAAATAAATTTATCATCAGATGAGCAGATACCTTTAACAAAGAAAGAAGCAGGGCCTCAAAATCTAGGAAACCTCCAGCCAAGGTGTATAATATTTTTGACACTATTATAGGCCTTTCTTACACCCGCTGTCATAATGCATTGGAGACACCCGTCATTATCCTTGATTTTAATCAAATTGTTTAATTTAACACTCTTCCACTTATGAGAATCGGGTATTTGGAGGGACCTCACAAGTGGAATTGGCTAGGATCTCTTTTCATCAAAATCTGGCTCTGCATAGAATTGTTGCCACAATAAAAAAAAAGTATTGGAATTGATCTGAGAATTTAACTGTATTGTCGACATGGAAAAAAAATTTCTTAGTATAAAGGAAATTTACATTAACCAGAAAAAGGCTTAGACAGAAGCGTCTACCTTTTTAAAATTTGGATTCTGTAACAACAAAGACATTTTGATTTCATTTTTGCCTTGAAAAAGTCAGAAGACAAAACCCGTTGGCAAAAAACTAAGATTTTTTTCCAATTGTCATTTTATTTTTATACCAATTTGTCTTGTCCACAGAATTGATCTGGGAATTTAACTATATATATATATATATATATATATATATATATAATTATTAGTATTATTATTTTTATTATAAGAGATTATAACAAAAATCTGTTGAAATTGCTACACAAAAGCTTTCATGTTTCAATATTTTGATTGTACTTCTTCAGGTGATGGTAAGTAACTGGTGATTAAATGATTTTTAAGAAAATTTAAAAACAAAGTGTTACCTCTTTTCTGAAAGTAAAAGGCAGGGAAACATAAGGTAAAAATTAAGAATAGACTTGTGGGTATGTCTTGGTTAACCAATTAAATGTCAGATCTGTGCTAACTAGAGAAGTAAGCACAGAGGGTGAAGGTGGGTGAGTTATTTTTTCATGCCATGATAAACCGGAACCTAGACAGGCCATCATTAACAATTACAGAAAATATGTAAGCAACAAATTTATCGTGATTCTAGACAAATATGACATGTTCAATTTTTTGAAAGGACATTG